GAGAGGTAAGGTTGTCCCTGCATTGTTTCTGAATTACTCAGTTCTGGAAGAACTTATCAGTTGGGCTGCTCCTGACCCAAACTCCCTGGGGAAAAGGCTCATCCATCACTGAGTCTGTTTGTCCGTGACTGCATCCATTTGGTCCTCCTTCTCACCTCCTGGCATCTATCAGAGCGCTTGCTTAAAAGCCGCCAAACAAGGCAGTGAGCCCAAAGAAACAAGTGAGCCAGCAGGGAAATAGGAACGCAGCTCCAGAAAGGCTAGTCATGGGGAAGGGAAAACATTACCCACCAGGAAGCAGGGTCTTCATGCGGTGGAGGGACACAGAGCGTAGCCACACCAAAGAAAACAATAGCCCTCTTAAAGTATTGGCTGGCCCAGGGCCTTTCTGTAGCCAGGTTTGTGAGCAGAGGATGCAGATGTCAGAAAAGACAGGGAAAGCTTCACACAACTACACGTTCAGTTTTACAGTTCCCACCCTGTTTGTCAACCTAGAAATAAAGCCTCTGCTACTCCGTTAAAGAAATGACCCAGGGAAGTGGATAACTCCTGTCTGTCACAAAGCGACTTTGGGGCATCCACGGAACTCCCTCTTTCTCTGTTGAGAGCTGGTAGTGTTAGAGCACTTGACCCCTGAAAGTTGCATGCCCTCTAAAAGATAAGATGTTGAAGGTGCTGGATGTGGCATGGCGATTAGGCTGCGCCAGGGTACCTTTGGGGAAATGGAGGCAGCAGAAACAAAAAGTCAAGGAAACGGGGAAGTGAGAACTAGAAGACTTCTAGTTCCCAAATTTCCCGAAATTTTCATGACAATCTAACTTGAAACATTCTGTGCTCATCTCTCCTGGAGCAAGAGCAAGCGTGTGCTTAGCAGGTGGGACACTCATTGTTTGTAGTAGTAGCTAATGTCTGTGCCAAGTACTGTTCTTTGTGTACACATAAATTATATAAAGTAATTCATTTTGTAATTAATTGTACAAAACACTTTGATCATATTAAACCCTTTGAATGCCCTACCTTTTAAATTTTTTTTAATTAATTTATTGATCATTCCTCCACTTAACACCTTCTAAGTCCATCCAAAGAAAGCCACTGACTCCAGTTGACGCTGCCTGTATACTCACAGGTAAGGGATTATCCCCTGGACCCTGAGCAACCTACCAGGGGCCAGACCCTTAAAAAATAACTAACCCTCCTTCTGTCGGAAGTCAGGATTGTCAGTAGTTCCTCAGCTACAGGAGGGGTAGGGCCTCATGATGCTGCCTTCTCTCCCTACTGAGATACCGACTGGCCTGGTCTCATGCTGGCAACCATAGCTGCTGAGGTCAAGGGCAGTGGTCCTACCGTGTCCGGAACACATTGTTTTGCTCCAAAACTCCCAGACCCCTGACTCTTACAATTATTCTATCCCCTCTTTCTCAGTGGTCCCTGAACCTTAGAGGGCAGGGGTGCGGTGTGTTTCCCACTGTGGCTGAGCACTCCACAGACACTTCTGTGTTCTTTAACCATTTGTGAGTTTCTGCCTTACCCGCTGTCCACAATACTTAGAACATCTCTGTGAGGTCTGAGCAGTGCCTCCCTGCTCCATTCCCTTATGCCCAATAGGCTGTTGTTTGCTTTTCTTTCTTGTTCCCAACATTTCACGTATCAGGGAAACCACGGACTTTGTGAGACTGTGAAAGTGATGTTCTTAAGTGTTTTTCTTCCTCGTTTACTCCCGTGATCCCCCCACACATTATGAAGCTACTACGAATATCACGAATCACTTTTTGAATGAAGAAGCAGCATTTTAAAAGAGGTTAAGTAATTTACTCATGGCTCTTATATCGTCAGAGGTTAATGAGAATCATCTTAGTCTAATGTCAGACCCACCCTACTGCTCATTACAACCCAATTAAGCCTCAGTGGACAATGATGCCAAGGGTCTGGTCTATGACTTAAGCTGTTTCCTATTCAGATTTTGTTGGACATCACTTTCTGAGAAAATAGTGGTTAACTGGAAGTATGGTCAATAATGTCTAATCTTTATAAAGATCTTACTATGGGCCAGACACTAAGCTATGCACTTAATAGCTTAGTGGTAATAGAGGTTACCACATTTAGTCTTCCAGACAACATGAGGAACTAGGTATTATTCACACCTGCATCCTAGAGATAAGAAAATAGATTCCTGGAGAGGTTAAGTATCTGGCTGAACATCACATAGTTAATAATCAAGTTAGGACTCCAGCCCTAAGGTCAGTGGGCTCTGGACACTAGAATACAAACTCCAAAATCAAACACACACAGGTGACAAAGAAGTGACCCGGGTGGGTGAAGTGCTGAGCTGTGCCAGTGAAAGTCATCAAAAGATCTTTTTCCACCTGAAGGCCATACAAACCACAAATACTTTCCACTATGTAAGACCAATGAAGACCAAAATGATACCACAATTTGCAAATGCAATGGACAGAGAGAAAGTCTACATTAAGAGTACCAAACCCATAATACTACACCAAACACAGTCCACAGGAAACAGCAGAAATGGGATTGTCAGAGTTCATCAATGATGAAACTATCTCAAGGCATAACATCTAACCATTTATTTGGGGAGAATCATCATCACTTGCTTCTACGTCTCCACACAACCACTTTGTCCTAGCAATCCTGATGGGATTTTTTTTTTTATTTCTAACTTCTCCAACTTTTTGAGTATAGAAGTTACCAATAATCCAAAGGTGGTTAGGAGATTACAGCATCGTTAATCAAGAAGCTAACTTTCATCTTCATCCAGCACAGAGAATTGAAGGTAAAGGCAAGGCTGGTATGGAGTCCCTAAGGTCTGCCTGGCTGACTAGCTTTGCCCTGGCGTCTGGCACATCCTACTCCCGCTCAGCCTGGGCAACCGCTGTCAAAGAGTGAGAAAGGACAAACTCTCACAGCTCTTAAAATGCAAGTTCAAGTTACAATGAGTCAGTCCAAATCATCCCCGGGTGCAGAGGCGATAGCAAGTGATCTTCCAGCAGAGAACAGAAATGATTCAACCAGAGAGTCTGTCAGCCCAGTACATCCTGTACACTTCAAGTGTCAACGTGATTCTTTCCTTGAGCTCACGGCCCTAACCCAAGAAAATAAGTTGACGTAATATGCATTGATAATTTGTGCATTATTTTCCACGTAATGACTGCTTGCAATAAAATACCAAGGCTTTATTTCTGGATAGACGAAGATCTGGTGGGAAAGATCCTGTGTGCTTTCCAAACCTTCATGGTCAAGTCAATTGTATCTTATTAACTGTGCCTTCTGAATAAACCCTCTCTATCAGATAATGTTGATTTGATTTAAATTAGAACGGCAGGCTTAAAAGAAAGTGTTGCCAAGAAGAAAGTGGAAATACGTATAAAAAAAATTTTTAGGTATATTAGAATTGATTTTCAGTTTAATTTTTTTGTGCAGAGAGGGCATCTAAAATCTCCTTGCTTCGACACCAGCTCTAATATTCTTACTAATGCCTATTGCAAGGGCTAGCACATAGCAGAACCTACTAAATACATAAACACAACCACCTATTTCTCTCCTTTTCATTCTCTTTCTACCAAGAGAATCAAAGTGAGGGTCAGGTTCTTGAATGGGCTGAGTTGACATACAGAACAAAACTGTTCCCTTGAAAGAAGGAAATACAGACTTCAAGGAAGAAGCCACTAATCAGACTAGACTATAATCCCGTCATGTCAGCTCCCATGTGACTACTCTACTTTGTTCTTGTGACATCCAAGCCTTGGAAGTAGATGGGAGCCCCTACAGCCATAGGTCCCTGAAGAAGCATACCTGTCAAACAGCTAAGAATCATGGTGAACCCTGGTCAGTTGTCTAAGTCAAAGACATGGGAACACTTATAGGTGTTCAAGAAACATCTTAACTACTACCAAACTATATGATCCTAAGAAACCCGCACAACAGATGATTTAGACTTCACCTCACTTGCTCAACAAGGAGCTAAGAAGACTAAACAGGGTTAGAGCTGCGAAGATGTCATGACCATTACAAGCTAGAGTCTAGTTTCTGAGGATTTGTCTTATTCTGTTTGGATGTTTATGTATGTGCATGTATGTGTCTACAGTTACTGTGTGCAAGTGTTTATGTGTACGGTGTGCAAGTGCATAGTAAAGCCAGATAATACCCTTGGATGCCACACTTTAGGACTGCCCAACTTATGTTTTGAAATGGGATCTCTTACTGGCTGGGCTGGCTGGTTAGCCAGTGAACCACCAAGGGTTTTCCGTCTCCAATTCCAAATGTTGGGATTATAACCATATACCACCATACCCAGATTTTTATGTATGTGCTGGGATCAAACTCAGGTCCTCGTGTGTATGTGACAAACACTTTACTAAGATCCTCAGCACACGAGTTGCTTCATTCTTCAGAGATGAACTAATGTATTGGAGTAATA